CCCCTAAAATAAAAACAGAGAGGGAGTGCACCGGGGTGGGGGGGGAGGGGCTCTTAGGCTGTTTTACAAAGCAAATTGATTAAAGGAGGCCCTGGAATCTGATCACATTACCCCAGAGACTTCTGTCTCAAAAGCAACATCGCTTTAGTACCCTCCCAAAATGATAAACACTCTACAAGGTGTTTAAACTATCACTGTTTAAGATATTTGCACACATAGGTTCATATTGCACACAGAGGATTATTCATGATTGCCAAAAGGTCAATAAAGTTTCAATTGAGAGAAGTAAAGTGTGGTATGACCACACAACAGAATGGCATCCAGCCCTAGAAAGCCAATAAAGTACTGAGACGTGCTGCAGTCTGGATGAAACTTGAAGGCATTATCAAAGAAGCCAGTCACACTAAGGAAGCTGGAACATGCATGTTTGAGGCCAACTTGGGCTACACAGTGAAACCTGTCTCAAAACAACAAATCCAGTCACAAAGGGACAAACATTGGGTGACTCCACTTATATCAGGTTCCTGAAGTACTCAAAACTGTAAAGAAAGTGGCAGTGGGCAGTGGCTGGGGGTAGGGAAATAGGGAAGTCACTGTTTGGAATAGTTTCCTTTATAGAAGATAGTTAGGAGAATCAAAACTTCAAAGTCACAGCAAGTTTGAAGCCAGCCCAGGCTACACAAGACAGTGTCTCAAAAAATGAAAACAAACAAACTCAAATCCCAGAGATTTATTTCCTAATGTTCTGGAAGCTCAAAAGTAGAACATGAAGGGTCCCAGATCTGACAAGGGCCTTCTTTTTTATTCTTATTTTATGTGTATGGGTGTTCTGCCTGCATGGATGTCTGTTCACCACATGCATGAAATAAGTGCCACACGGGCCAGAAGAAGGTGTAAGTAAATGGTGGGGAAGTAAATGGTAGCAACAGCTGCAAAATAATATGGAGGCAGCTAGTGGCATGACCTGTATTCATGAAATGGCTAAGATGGATAACTTTATGTTATGTGTTGAAGTTTCCCTCAATGCAACAGAGGCCGGACCGTACGAAGTGATTAGGTCATAGTCTAATAGACTACTATCACATGAGGGAGGTGCCTTGCTGCCTTGAAAGTGTGTTTGTGATTCAAGTGAATCTGCTTCTTCTGTCGCTCACTCACTCTCTTGCTGTGGTGATGATGTAACAAGAAGGTCCGTCCCCCCATGGAGCTGGAGAAATGGCTCAGGTGTTAAGATAGCTACTCTCCCAAAGAATCTGAGTTCAATTCCCAGCACCCATATTATGACTCACAAGGGTCTGTTCCTCTAGTTCTGGGGGATCTGATGCCCTCTTCCGGCCTCTCTGCAAGGCACTTACTTGTGTTTGTCGTTTCTGAGACAGTCTCACATAGTCCAGGCTGACCTCAGACTCTGTGTAACTGAACTTCATCTCCCAAGTGCCAGGATGACAGGTATGACAGGTACAGTTTTATGTAGTGTTGGGAATCTAACCAGGGATTCCTCATATATCCTCATACAGCATGTTCTCAACCAACTGAGCTACATCCCTATCCCAAATCTCTGTTCTTTATGAATTACCCAAAGTTAGATACCCTATAGATATCACAGAAGTATGAAATGGGCTAAACATTATGTATATTTTACAATACTTTTATAGTTACTAAGGATGTTTAAAGCAGCTCTCTGGAGTTTGGGATGAAGGAGCATGGTTCCCTGGAGAGCAGAAAGGGCATGAAGTTCTCTTCTCTTGTCCTATGTCATGCCTTATACATTTCCCCCATCTGTCCATCTATCTGCATCCCTTATAATAACTGATACACAGTACCAAAAGCTTGTAGGTCATGAGAGCACCAGATCCTAGGACACCTTTCCATTTTCCACCAATTAGCCACTGTCTTCTGTTGTTGTTGTTTGCTTATGTTTTTGTTCTTTTCGACTGGGCCTCATTGTAGCCCGTGATGGCTAACCTCGAACCCCTGATCCTTCTACCTCTATCTCCCAAGAGCTGGGATTACAGCTGTGCACTATCACTCTTAGTTTAGTCTGCTGTTTTTTAACAAGGAAACCGATCCGATCTACATGGTTCCTAGGGCCTGATGTCTTTCTGGCCACTTACCAGGAAGATCTGGCCAAGTTCCTGTGCCCAACTCCAGACAGATTTAATCCTCCTGACTGTTCTTAGGACACTGTGGATACGAATTCTTGCCCATGTTCCTTGTGATACCATAATGCAGGATGAAAACATAGCCTACCAACGGGGAAGGATGTTTTTAAAACTAGTTCCACACAAAGAAAGCTGATTAAGGTTGTGTGATAGCAGTTGGAGGGCAGAGGGGACGCTCAGCAAGTCCTCTCCAAACGGCTGCAGCAGGCACTGCTGTCCAGGAAGGTATTCATTCAGTAAGACTACAGCAGTGCTATCTACAGCCAGCTCCAGACCAAGGTCCTGAGGGGCAGGGGGGGCGTGGGGGGGTGGCAGGGGGGGACTTCCAGAGAACAATATTGATAGGCAACTGTTTGAAGAAAGTTTAATCTCTAAATAACCTTTAATGGGGAAGCAAGGAAACTTGAGGGCCAGTTTTATCTTGAAGGTTTTTGGCTTGTTTCGCAGCATATACTATCTTCCTGCGCAGGGAAACTCTCTATGAGAAGACCCATGCCAAAGAACGTCTCCAAACACACTGAAAGAACAGAGGGAGAAGATGCATTCTCCCCAAGGCCTCCTGCTGACACACCCACAAATAGACTTTGGAGCTGTTGAAACTGCCACAGAGAAGATGGAAGTGTGAGCAGAAAGGAAACTAAAGAATTAAAGAGCTCACTTCAGTCGTGATCTTTGTCTCTCCACGGATCAAATGTGTCCCTGCCTCCTTCCCAGAGCACCAGCCCCTTGCGTCTGCTGCCAGAGCCACCGTGCCTTTTACTCCAAGGACTGCCTGTCTACAGTTCTACATCCAGAGTGACTGCTCATCACTCAGCATTCACTTTGTGTCTCCAAGTTTAGCAGGACTCTGGGACCTTCTGGTTCATTTCTAAGAAATCACAATGATGCATTTCACTTTAAAACATTCCAAAGGCATTGGAAAAGTATGCAGTTGGTTAGTCCGACTTTTATTTCACACTTGCCACCAGCCATTGCTTCCCTTCACCCACTGGGCCAGTTTCCTAGGTGCCTTTAGACTCTAAGTCATATGGTATCTCAGCGACTCCCCCAAATTACCAAAAGGCTTTTCTCTGGAGGAAGGATGTATTGTTTGTGATTTTACTAAGGAATCTCCTAGTTTTCAATGAATTGCCAATTTTATCATGAAAGAAAATCTTTAGTTCTACTATTTAGTTTCTCAAACTGAAAGGTCACTAAAAAAATAATGTATACTGTGATTTATTATTAGACTTATTCTTAACTAAAGGAGTATTTAATGCAATTCCCAGTGATTTTCTTTGGAGATTTTTTTTGTTATCGTGAATTACCTCAAATTGTTGGCAGATATAGTGTGTGTTCATTGGACAAGTAAGTAAACCCAGTAAGTGGGTGGTCAGCCATTAAAGACATGCATATGCCCACTCTGCCTGATACGTAATAAGCAGGTAGTAAACATTTTAACTATAGTTTTGCTATAAGCATAATTTAACTATACAGGCAGACTACAATTCACAGACTCTACACACACCATATTCAATGCACAACACCTTAGGATTAGTTTGTAAAGTTGTAGCTTCTGTGTTAAATCTGCAAGTTCCAGTCAATATTTCCAACTCTTGCTTTATCTCTCCTTATGCCCTTCATTCTTAGAGGTTTTGAAAGCACTGTATTTGGGAGAAAATTAAGAAATGTATTATGGAAAATGAAGCAGTTAAAAGTTTAACTTCCAGAGATACTGATCTTTCAGATTTGCTTTCTCAGCCTTTTAGGAATTCAATAAATCCCTTAGATCTGTGCATTAATTTAATTGTATAAAACCCATTTATTACTCTACAGCTTATAAGTGTGTCTGTCTGACTTTTAAGCCCCTTCCAAAAACTTTGCTGAAACAGTAACACATTATTTAAACTTTTTAAAATTGAAAATATATATTTTTATACAATATATTCTAATCACGGTTTCCCCTCCCTCACCTCCCAGATCTTCCTATCTCCCCACTCATCTAATCCCACGCTTTCTCCCCTTAAAAAACAGACATCTTAAAACAACAAACAAGGTAATAAGAGAGTCTGCCGCGTACCCACATCTAGAGATGACTATAGATGATGCCCAGTTGTGGGGAGGGAAAGGTGTTAAGAAGGGTTTGAGACAGATGCTCCTTGCTGCTGCTGGTCTAGGAATCTTTAGATCTTAAGTGTGACGGCAGGGGTTCCTGTTGTCTTTTCCTGTCCAATGGTTTCAGTCAGACTCTCCCTAGTCCGTTAGAAATGTTCAGTGAACTGGAACTTCTAGAGAAAAGGCTCTCCTTCGTCCTGGGGTGTTCCTGTGTAAATAGCCCGATGGGCAGCTCCTCTTCGAACCAACATATCTAAGACACAAGACTTGGACGACAGAAAAGTACCCTGTACTAGACTGAAAACAGCAGTTTTAAATGGCACATGCACACACACCACCACCATCACCCAACACACATATATACTCAGTGACAAATAAAAAGTAAAACGTATACCACCTAAATACTGATATACTGTGTATGAGAACCCTAGACACGCAAAGAGAAACTATGAGCGCCACTGCCATCATCATCGCCATTAGCATTACCGCAGAAATGTGACACGTGCCAGTTCTGCAGGATGAGCGGCAGACGCTGGCAAGCGCCACCTCGTGGCGCCAACGCTAAGAATACAAGAGCAGGTTGGGCGGGGCCTCAACAGCCGGGCACCGGGAAAGAGAGACCCTGAGCAGTGCGCAGCCTCAATGCGCCACCTCGGCCAGAGTGGGCGGTCCGAATGGGTTTGCCCAGGTTCCGTCAAATACCGCGAGAGTGCAAATCCCGTACCTAGCCCCTCCCTCCTTATAGGCTAAGTCCTGCCCTGGGCCCGCCCTTGGAGGCGCAGGCCCCGCCTCCCGGGCAACGCGTTTCCGGCGTTGTAACGCGGCGCTGGTTGGCTGGCCAGGCGGAGAACATGGCGGCGTCCGTGCTGGGCTCGCTGCTGCGGACTTTCCGGCAGGTCAGGCCCTTGCCTTTCTCGCCAGCCCACTTTTCACCCCTGAATCCCGTGTCCTGTGGGTTCCCCCGTACCCTGTCAGCTGTAATGCGCACGGAGGACCAATCCCAGGGCTCCGTCCACCTGCTTTCCCCTTCCGGCTGGGCTAGGAGAGGCCTAAGGGGCCAACGGGAATTTGGCGTTCAAGTGTGGAGCCGCGATTGGAAAGCTAAGAGGTTGACTCCGGTTACATGGAACTCCGTGTGAATGGAGAAGAAAGGGGGTCGGAGGGTTGAGGCCTCCGAGGCTCCGACTGTGCAAGGGAGCCAGCTGTCAGGGAGGACAACCAAAGACATGGGGTGGCTTGGAAGCCGGTGGTGACAGAACTTCGAAGACGGAGCAGGCCATTCCGCTAAAACAGAAAGGTTAAAGGACTGGGAATTGGCTGTAGATGTGAGGAGTGGCAGTGTTGTGATGCGGACAGAAACTGGGAGCAATAGCAAAGGAAATTGGAGAAGTCTTCGAGAGAGTTTTGCTAGGGAGGGGTGTCAACGAGAGGGAGACCTGAGTTGTTTTTCCTTTATCGTGACAAAACAACATCATGTTAGAGGGGGAGATCCACTAGAGTGGGAAACATTGATGATAGAGAGGACAGGGAAGAATCGTTGGAGCTCTGCCTTTCAGCAGGCAGGAGGTAACAGGGTCTTGTGTATGAAATTTGATCGCAGGGACGTGGACAAGTCACGTGTAGCAGTTTTGTCCATAGAAATATAATGCCAGCCACAGGGGTGATTTTTATTTTTTCTAGTAGTTACATTGAAATTAGAAAGTAGGTGCAGTTAATTTTGATAGATTTTTTTTTTAAGCCAGGTATATCCATATTCTAACAAGTCAAAATTAGAATGATTTATGAGACATTGACATTCCTCTGTTGGAAACAGGTTTTCAAAATCTTATTTGCATCGTACTATAAAGCATATCACAGTTGGGATGCTAAATTTTGCGTCATCATAGTGGAAAATACAGTTGTACCAAACACAAAGTTGCTTGATATTTGAAAATTGAAGTGAATTAATAGCAAGAATCATGTCCCCAGTTGTACTGCTTACAGCCCTATCCATGGTTAGAAGTTACTGTAATGGACAGAGTTGACGTAACCAGAGAGGGTGTAGAGTGTAGTGCAAATGCTGCTGAGTGGAGAGATACGGTAGTGAGAGTTTGGAAAGTCTCTTTAGATTGTTTCTGATTTTATAGCTAAGGAACATTGAAGTCATCAGAACATGAGGGTGTGGGGCAGAGGACAATGATTTAAGAAAGAAGGACATTCCTGCAAATTGTCCTGATTTCCACATGTGTTGTAGTATGCACAAGCACACACAAATAAATGTAATAAATCAGTTTTGTTTTTTTTTTAAATACTAAGTCTTGGGTTGATAAGATGGCTCAGTGGGTAAAATACTTGCCATCAAGCCTGCATAGTTCAATCCATGTGGTGGAGGAGAGAACTGACTCACAAAAGTTGTCCTCTGATCTCCACACACAATGCCCATCCATACACAAGCATGTGTGCGTGCATATGTGTCAAATAAGTATAATTTACATCATTGCTAAAAGTCATAAGTAGTGACTGAAAGAACTTTATGGATTGGAAAAACACTTGCAGTACCCATGGTCTGGTTTGTCTTTTAGGCGGTTCCTCCATCTGCATCAAGTCAGGTTCGAGGTTACTATGTAGACTGGAAAATGTTGCGTGATGTGAAGAGACGAAAAATGGCTTCTGAGTATGCAGATGAGAGACTTCGGATCAATTCTCTCAGAAAGAACACCATTTTGCCAAAAGACCTTCAGGTTAGCCAGTTGAGTCCCTTTCTTTCACAAAATCATTAATTGACATCATTTCAGATTCTTTGTGATACTGTTTTATTGCAACTTAGTATTACTGTAATTTCTGGAGAATAAATAAGATCAAATGCTCAAGTCAACATAAACAGTCTTAAAACCAACTTTGGTGAGTTTAGGATAAAGGACAACAATTCATTTCTTCCTGGTTCTTCAGCCATTTCATTATACAATCCCTAGCAGGTACTAGTGAGTGGTAGCCACATAGAAACTGAGAAGCCCAGTGTTGGAACCTTCAAGGCATTTGAAGGTATTGCTGATGCATGGGCTGTGTGCAGAACACATGACCTGTGGTCCTTACTTGGGACCTGCCTTCCTGAACTCTTGCCCCTTCCATGTCCGTGGTTAGGTAGTCTTCGATTTAGCCTTTCTCTCTTGTCATGTACTTCTGGTGAAATAAAAGGGCGTTGACCCTGTTTGGCTTCCTGTGGCATATGGTTTTACACTTAAGTGGTGACAGAGTACATGTACTGAAGAGGCTTGTAGGAAATTATAAACTCAAGGCTATTTACCTTACTGAAAGTTCATAGAAAAAAATGTTTCTACAAATAGGCAGAATGATTTAGTCTGTTTCGTATTCTTTTCTCCCCCCTTTGGTTTTTCCAGACAGGGTTTCTCTGTGTAACCCTGGCTGTCCTGGAACTTGATCTGTAGACCAGGCTGACCTTGAACTGAAGAGATCTGACTGCCTCTGCTTCCTGATTGATGGGGTTAAAGGTGTGTCATCAATGCCTGGCTGTTGTATTATATTGTTAAATCTCATGTGGTTTAAATTAAATCACCAGAAAACCGAGTTCCCAGGAGCACTCTGCTGTGGCTTTTACTACAGTGGCATTACACTTCCACTTAAGACAGTAAAGAAGAGGGCCTTGACAACTCAGCTAAGACACCATTGATCACAGAAGCATGAGTAAAATGGTGGCTGCCAAGAGCTGGGAGTCAGTAGGGTCAAACTCAGTTCGTCAGCAGGGACACACTTGGGGTATTAAGGTGAATAAATGCTACTACCTAAAATATAGCTTACTAGTCGTCAGTACTATATTCTAAACTTGAAATTTGCCAAGAGTCGACAGATAATACACACAAAAAATACGAGCCCAATGACAGTGATTAGCTTGATTGTGGTAACCATCTCACAATATACTTGTGCCAGTATATAATAATTAAATATATACAAATTGTCTATTAAGCCATAGGGTAAATGAGTGAGCTCTTTGTGAAGAACACCGTGCTGCCCCCCCCCACCCCCCCACACACACACCAAAAATAAATGCCTCTAGTGTTAGTACCAGCAATAGCAGTGCAGAGACTGAGCCATCCAAACTGATCAGGGCCATTTGATGCTTACAAGTTAAATTTATGTCCAGTTCCAGCAGGTTTTCCCAACTTTCTTTTCTGCTTTCATTTTCCTTGTCCAAGTATCATCTGTAAACTACCTTTTATTTTTGAGGAAAAGAAGGGTATGCATAGGTAAGTGCACATTTTTATAGCACATTCATTGACCTTGTGTTGTTTTATGTGATTCTCCACATATTTCATATCAGTGAGTGCATAAGCTTTTGGACATCAGAAGCTTTGAATGCTCAATTATTTAATTTAATGGTTTTCCTAGGTATCATTTCAATTTTTGTCCTTTTAAATGTTACTGTACTTTTTTTGTGTCTTCCACAGTTTGTCACAGGGTCAGTGGTATATGCCAATACATCTGACAAAGTGGTATAAGTATACATATTAACAAACTCTTAGGTAAGAATAAATATTTACTGACAACCTGGGCCTAATCTGCCATACTTTGTCCTCTCAATTACTTACCAGTATCATAGGCATTGCATGTACAAGATTCATGGACATTGCAAATATTTTTTTTTCATGTAAATCTTGTCTGATCACCTTTATTTCTGCAGTAGTCAGAATCTTTATCTTAAGACTTTGAGGCTCTTGGGAATCCAACTTTGTACTCGTCTCAAGCCATGGTCTTTCCTACTGTTTCATCAGCTCAGTGGTTTCAAGCTTTAATAGTTCAAAAACTTAATGTGTGTCTATATGGGGGCAATAAATGAATTCACATATTTTTTTCTAAATGACCTAAACATGGATGTATGGAGCAGCACTATTCACAATAGCTCAAAACTGGAAGCTACTCAGATTTCCAGCAGCAATAGAATAGATAAAGGAATTCTAGCTCCCCAACAAAACTAGCACCAAGGAGACTGAGCATATTAGTGACACTTGGAACAGTGTAGGTGGTCTCACAAGCATACTGTTGAATAAAAAATCCAAACAAATGAATAGAAAGAGAAAAGGCTATATGAGCATATTACATGCAATTTACAATAGGGAAATGTGTACTTAGGTGTTAGTGAGCATGTTAGCTATTAGCCAGTACCCTTAGAAGGGAAACACAGATAAAGTCTTGGGTGCTGATAATGTTATTTTGTAATTCAATGCTAGCTACACAGTATATGTTGTTTATAAAAAATATACTGAACTGTCATTATGGTTTATAGATTCTTCTTATTGCTTTAATCTTTAAAATCATATTGGAAAAACATCAAACATTTCTGTTTTGTTTCTACTCAAAGGTTAAGGCTTACTACTACATCCAGTGTTTGGCTAAGATTCTAGCCCATCCTTCCTTTGCGTTAGGTACTGAGTTGTGATCTGTGTTGTGATTTCCCCCTAGGAAATGGCCAGTGAAGAAATTGCTGCCCTTCCACGGGATAGCTGTCCTGTGAGAATCAGAAATCGGTGTGTTATGACATCCCGTCCACGTGGTGTAAAGCGTCGCTGGAGGCTGAGTCGCATTGTCTTCCGCCACTTAGCTGACCATGGGCTACTTTCTGGAGTTCAGCGAGCAATATGGTAAATCGGTTTCAGAACTTACGCAGCTGCCCGGGAAGCCAATCCTGGCAAAAGAGACTTTACTAATAGACTGAAGTTTTTATCGGGTCTAGTATGTTTAGTCTACCTGATACTGTTGACAGTTAAATTACTTTTAGATTTTTAAATAACGAAATGTGGTGATTTGTCATTGAATTGTCTTTTCTCTTTAATTTTACAATAGGCATATTACAAGGGATGAGTGGAATAAAAATGTTTTCTGTGGAAGTATGGTGTTTTCCTTCAAGTTTGATGTTTAGTAACAAAGTAACATGTTTTTTAATAGAGATTTCACAAAACAGTTATAGACATCCCAGCTAATTGACAAGTTGCTTTTCTATGGCATTGTACCCCTGGGCTAGCTTCCCTGGCCAGCAGTTAATACCACTTTTGGAATAAGAGTAGATGGCAAGTTAAAGAGGATATTTTAGATTACATTTAGTGTCAACTTTTTGTGACAGTAAATAACTGCTAAATAGCTTTTTGTTTCATCTTTTTAAAGTGTTTATTTATCTGCATGTAAATCTGTGTTTCGTGTGTACCTGGTACTCAAGAGGCCAGATGAGGGCGTTGGATCCCAAATTACAAACAGTTGTGTTCGGAATTGAACTCGGGTCCTCTGGAAGAGTAGCCAGTATTCTTGACCACTGAGAACACTCTAGCCCCTAGTTGTTCAACTTTTAATGGTTATATTAATCAGTGAGTTCAGATAGGGCTAGCCTGATCTTTGCATTTAAAACTCACCTGTTGCCAGCAGCTTACACATTTCACTGATGACTGTTTACCCCGATCTTCTCATTAGATTTTCTAATTCTGTCTTTGCTCCATCAGCTTCTCTTTTTCTTTGTAGAGAACTTTCCCTATCAAGAATTAGTAAAAATGCATTTCTTAATGTGTAATAAATTTTCAGAGTAAACAAGTTGGTACACATACTAATAAAAATGGAAACAAATTCATTCTTCATTCCTGTGAACTTTGAAATTTGTATATAGTGGTGCTTCAGTTCACTCTGCTCATTCTTACTCATGCTCATTGTCTTATTACCAGTGGAAGTCCCTTGACATCTGTACCCTGCAAATAAGGTTATTTATTATGTCTTTACTTACTGGCATAAAAGCCTATTTTGTAGAAGTAACTGTCTTATTAAATAAGAAACACAGAGCCAATGTAAAGATAAAAGCCCAAGAGGTCAGAGCTAAGAGCCTTACCCTTCCTGCTTCAGCGATTCTCTTCAGCCAAGAGAGACCTACTTCCTGTGTGTTTGTCTTTATATAGGCTTTCTGTTCTGCCTTCTCCTTGGTTGTAAACCCAACCACATGACGGCCTTGTCACTGCCTGTCTGTACAAACCTCCAGGTCTTCTATGGTTGGTATTGAGATTAAAGGCGTGTCTCCAATGCTGGCTGTATCCTTGACCACACAGAGATCTACCTAGCTCTGCCTACCAAGTGCTGGGATTAAAGGCATGCACCACGAACGCTCAGTTCCACTCTGGCTTACTATTAGCTCTGACCCCCAGGCAACTTGATTTATTAACATACAAATAAAATCACATTTCAGTACAAATAAAATTTCACCACACTATTTAGATTGTCTATTTCCTGATTCAGACATTTGTCTTTAGGGATCCCTGGTTCTTAAAGGAATGTTTAGAGACCACAAGATGCACTAGTTAACTCATAGCTACTAAGTTGTCACTACTAGGACTTTTTGTTTTGTTTTCAAGATTTATTTTTAATTATGTGTATATGTATGAATGGGGAGTGCTAAGTGCCTGGGGAGGCCAGAGGTGTCAGATACCACTGGAGCTGGGGTTAAGTCTTGCAAGCCACTTTGTATTGGAAACTGAACTGTGGTTCTATGACAGTTGTTCACGTTGAGCCACCCATCCAACCCTAGAAATAGGGGCGGGGAGGGGGGAACTGGAGGGATGGCTCAATAGAGAACACTTACTGCTCTTCCAGGGGACCAGAGTTAAGTTCCTAGCACCCACATTGGACAGCTCATAACCACTTATAATTCAGCTCCCTGCGGAATCCAATATTCCTGGCAGCCTCAGACAACCACACTGACATGTAAATACCCACACATGTAAACATAATTCAAAAATAATAAAATAACCTTTAAAAAATCAACTCTTAATGTCACCAGCTTGTTTACTTTTATCACAATATATAAAAATTCTAGTATATTACTAGTACCACTAATTGTGGCACAAAATTATTTAGAATCCATCTCACTAGTGATGGACAAATGATAATATTCTAAAGATGCTTGAGAATAACTTGTACTCAACTCAGTGTACATACTATTGTTTAAATAGTTGTGTCTCCAAAGTGTATATTGAAACTTAATGCCCAGTCCATGGTATGAAGAGGTAGGGCCTTTAGGAAGTAAGGCCATAGCTTCACCTTCGTGAATGAGATCAGTGCCCCAGGAGCTCCTGGAGAACTGAATTCATCCCTTTTGCATCCTCTGACAAAGCCCTTATTAACCAACCACCAAATAGATTGGCCCTTTGATCTGGACTTGCTAGTCTCCAGAATGGTGAGAAATGTTTCTATTATTTCCATAAATTACATAGCAGAAATGGACCAAGGTGAGTTGGGCTTTGTTTTTCAACTATTTTCAATGGTTCTAAGGTCAACATTGTCCATTTCTGCTATAATATAATCTACCATAATAAAATTAGTCCCTGTTAATATTTGTTCCCAACTCTTTGTATACATCATTCTAATTTTGTTTTTCTGTCCCATAATTCCTAGAATTTTTCAAGTTAAGGTAGACTCCAGCCAGGTAGTGGTGGCACACACCTTTAATCCCAGCACTCAGGAGGCAGAGACAGGCAGATCTATGTGAGTTCAAGGCTAGCCAGGACTGCACAGAGAAACCCTGTCTCAAAAAAACAAAAACAAAAACAAAAACAAAAACACCAGACATCTAATTATGACAGGTATTAGCAATATGAGCTTAACCTTTTCATTCTTTTCCCATCTAGGCATCTGTTTTTCATAATCTAAACATGAAATTTAATGTTCTTATATAAAATGCAGTGGAGTTTACCCTAAGGGTGGTATAGTTTTTATTAGTCCTTTCTAGAATAGAGTAAGCATATTTTCATTGTACTTCCAAGTAGCATGAACAGCATACATAATGGTTTGAGCTATTCATACATCTTATCTTCTCATCCAGATCCACTGATCCTCTTCTCAACTCTGTCACTTTCCTCACTCCTAGTTTTTATCTCTGAACAATTTATTCATAATTATTGGAATGTCAGTATGTCATCAGTTTTTGGTTGTGTGTGTTTTCCCATGTATTTCCCTTTTATACTTTTTTTTTTTTCCAAGACAATGTTTCTCTGTGTAGCTTTTGGAGCCTGTCCAGGAACTCACTTTGTAGACCAGGCTGACCTCGAACTCACAAGAGATTCACCTGTCTCTGCCTCCCGAGTGCTGGGATTAAAGGCGTGTGCCACCACAGCCCAGCCTCCTTTTATACTTTTAAATCATGACTTTTCCTTCACTTAGATCATAATGGAATTCCTCTCTTCTGGTACTTGCATACTTCATTTTTTACATTTACATTTTTGATGACATAAATGTGGACAGTATGGCTGTTTTAAGTTCTATCAATATCAACTCATCTTCCCCTACCAAAATACCACTCTTAGTGTATTCTAAATCTTATAATATGCAAACTAGTTTGTTTCACAGGTTTGTTTATTTCATGTTTCAATACCACAGTTCTGGAGGCATTATAGTCCCAACCACCCTTTCTGTATGTTAATTTTAAGTTCTTGCCTTTTACCTAATTCTTAATTGTAGTTGTAGTGGTTCTGGAACTCTAGAAGCTTTTTCTTCCAGGCATCTAATTGCTTTCTTTCTGGTGGTGAGCTTATTAGCCTTCAACAGCTGAGCCATCGATCCAGCTCTTCTTGCTTTCTACATGTTACTGCAGTAAATGCAGGGACAGCCTAATTTTTCAAATACACTATAAAACAGATAGCAAAACTGATCTTTTACGTAAAACTTGAACTTTATTGAACAAAGGAATAGATGAATTTTCAAACTGTTGCATCATGGTTTTATTTTTATAAGCCAGCTGCTCCACGGCAGTACTTACAACGTAAGATGTTTGTCTGTTTTTGTCATTTGTATTTTGTTTAAATTTTATATTCATAAGTGTACTTAAACCAATTAGTATACATGGTAGCGCATGGCACTCATTGTTTAAGCTGGTAATAACGGGTAACAGGTATATTGTAACTTGCAAGTTTGTGTACAAATTTGAATCTTATGCAAAAGTTTGGTTTTATTTTTACAGTAGTGGGAGATGATGTAAGTTATAGGCCAATATTTTGGTTTTTACCTCTCAGCCAGAACAAAAGTAACATTTTCATTATGTAAATTTCTTTTTTACATTTCAGTAAATGTAAAACCTTTTCTTAAACAAAATGACAATGATGCTAATGAAGGAAATGTTTAATAAGCATATTTACTTAAATCAAATCCTCCAGTAAGAAATGGAGAATTTGCTGTCTTTACTTAGAAGGCTGTGTAAATAGTTATCTGTCATTTTATGTGCAATTCAACAATATTCCCTTACTGGGAACATGAGCGTTCCACATCACAGTTCCCAAGGGACTTAAAAGTCTCAAAATTCCGTGTCTTCTCTGGCTTGCTTCTCTCTAGATTCCACCCACGCTTTATTAATGGTTCGCTTCATGTCATCATCTCCATCTTCATAAATTTTCTTTAGAACATTCATTAATCCCTCACTGGGATCTGTTTCAGCGTCATAGGAAGGCTTTCTATGAAAAAGAAAACAGTGTACAATGAAAAATTGCAGCATGGAAAGACATTCTTAGATTGTAACTGATAGGAAGGAGAAGAGCAGAGAGAAAGGTTGCTAGAGTGTACACCAGAATATCTTGTCTAGGTTCATCCTGGTAAAACTTCATACCACATGTGCATGGTACACAAAGGAGAGAAAACAACGTGGCAAGGACTGACAATGAGGCAGTGAGATTTCAAGAGGAAATACATAAATGTGAATACCTTTTCCAGCTTGTTGATTTTTACAAGCATGTTTTTTCACATTAAAAAAACTAATGAGAGCCAGGCGGTGGTGGCCCACGCCTTTAATCCTAGCACTTGGGAGGCAGAGCCAGACAGATCTCTGAGTACGAGGCCAGCCTGGTCTACAAAGTTCCAGTACAAACCGGCCTGTTACCCAGAGAAACCTTGTCTCAAAAAACAAAACAAA